GTGCTTTGTGCCAGCGGACGAGTGCCGGTTGACTCCCGTGGATCGCATTTTCACCCGCCTCGGCGCGTCGGACCGAATTTTTGGCCGGCCAGAGCACCACTCTGTCGTGGTCGCAGAAACCGCGACGCGGCATTCTCTCGTCATTCTCGACGAACTGGGGCGGGAAACGTTGGATGGGACCACGATTGCTTTTGGCGTTGTCGAGCACCTGTTGCACACGACTGGGTACGAACTCTTGCCATGATCGATCGTGTGGCTTTTTCATGCGAGTGCTCCACAGATGCCGCACCATGTTTGCCACGCATTACGACTCGCTCGTCGAAGAGTACTTGGACCTCTCCCTCGGCCACATAAACTGCATGGTGGACCCGACCAACGAACTCGTATTCTTGTACAAACTGACCGACGGAATATGCCCCAAGAGTTATGGGCTGAACGTGTGGAAGCGATTGACGTGGCGGCGGCCATGTTGAGCAAGTACTGCGAGACTCCAATTCAAACTTGAGCGGGGGCAACGGGACCTCGTGGTGTTTGCGAGAGCTCTCCTTGCAAGGGTATACGACAGCTTTGCCTAGGCACACGCCCCACAGCTGTGAGTCTCTCTCTGCCGTTCGTCCTTGGAACGACTGCACTCACCTTCTTCGATTGCCAGATGCACAATGCCATACCGCAGCAGCTTGAACCGCGCATTCACGTTGATCTTGGGCCGTGGGCTGCCGTCAGCGGCTCTTAAATGTGTCATATCTTTATTTCTTCTACAATTTTAGTCTCATGGCTCTAGAATACAAAGGAAGTGATATAAACCGTTTCGATGGTCACACCTATTTTCTAAATGATACACAAGGCTAACAATATAGTCGTTGTACTGTCGAATGCCCACGCCATGCCTTCTATTGAGAAAAACCTGCCTGGCATAACTTTATTTCGATCACTGTATACTACAGTAAAAATGAATTGTAACGAAAATGGGCTCTCCTTTGTGCTGTACGTACACTACGAGATGTTGTACAGTGCTCCACCGACGTTTGCAGCTTCCAAAAAATATAGATTTTACCAAGTATCAAGTGTGGAAATATTATTCAATTAAAGAGAACCGTGAAATTGCTCCAATGCCATTCAGTTCAGTAAGTCCCGAATCGTCGGCGGGCCAACACGGACGCTGCTCATTTGAGTTGCCAACGTTGAGCGCGGGAGGATTCCAGT